GTAAGGCTTCTAGTCACTTCTTTATCCCCCTGTTACCCAGGTTCCCAGCCTAGAGCTAACCAGCTACCATTTTTTTTCACTTTCTTATGTATTGTTCTAAATATAGTATTTTTTTCTTGGTACAGTATACTTTATTGATGGTACATGACAAGGTGGAGCTCCCTAGATACAGTATTCAACACAGATGATAATATATAATACATGCATGATGTTTTGTGTTTTGGTTTTTACCATTTAATAGTAATCTTGGAGGTTGTCTCTTCAGTACATATTCACCGTGATTTTGATATTTAAGCAAAGTTCCATAGTGATGGACATTCAGGTGTGTTTCCATTGTTTCCTACTAGGAAAAAAGCTGCAGTGACTATCATTTCACATAATGTCTAAGAAGAGTGGTTTATTCCTTTTAAACTGTCAGATAATGCCAAATGCCCTTAATGGAGGATGAATTATATCCTTGGCAACAAAGCTTATGATAGCATATTTCCATGTGTTCTAGTGGACCTAAAATTTTTTGCCAATCTAACAGGTGAAAAATTATATTTCTGTTGGGAGTGGAGTAGAACATCAGTCATTTTTCTATTAACCAAAGATTCACATGCTTTGTCTGTTTTTTCATTGAATCATTGGTCTTTTCCTTAGTTATTTATAGAAGCTGTTTATATATTAACATTGTCTTTTTCCATGATATGAATTACTTCCTTCGATCCTCAGTCTAAAAGTAGGGACTATTATTGTCTCCATTTTACTGAAGATATAGTTTTAGACTGGTTCATTGCTTTCTCTCACTTAAGTAATAAGTGATAGAGTCGTAGTTCAAAGGCAGATAGTTTGACTCAAAACTCTCATTTTTTTCCCCGTTCTACTGCTTCTCAGTATCTTATAATAGATGAAGAGCTGTTCCGAGCACACAGAAATTTCTTAAATATTTAAATATAAAATTTAAATATTAAAATTTCTTAACTATTTAAAACAGTAGTTTACAAACTACTGTGTTGGGAGTCATAGGTGATGAAGATGATTAATATGATAAATAAAATTAGTTGGAATTTAAGACAAACACATTGATTAGAAGACAGAGTAAGAACTACCATAACAGACAAACATGTGTTCTCAGAAGTTCAAAATTGTAGCAGTTGGACAAATGATTTAAAAGTATAAAACAAACCAGCATTTCTAAAGTAGGCATTCAAATTGGGTCTGAGACATAGAAAAGGCTTTGACAGATCGAAGATAAGAAAAAAGCAAAGAAAAGTGACTGGGTGTGGTGGCTCACTCCTGTAATCCCAGCACTTTGGGAGGCTGAGGCAGGCGGATAACTTGAGGTCAGGAGTTCAAGACCAGCCTGGCCAATGTGGCAAAACCCCATCTTTACTAAAAAAATAAAAATAAAATTAGCTAGGCGTGGTGGTGCACACCTGTAATTCCAGCTACTTGGGAGGCTGGGGCATGAGAATCACTTGAACCCAGGTGGCAGATGTCACAGTGAGCTGAGATCGTGCCACTGCATTCCAGCCTGGGCGACAGAACAAGAATCTGCCTCAAAAAAAAAAAAAAAAAAAAAGGAAAAAAGAAAAGAAAGAAAAAAGCAAAGGAAGTTGAAGACTAGAACAGGAAGGGAATAACCTGAGCAAAGGCCAGAATCAGGAGGAGCTATTCGATAGTGAGCAGTGAGGGGAGGGGGAAGAGTGCTAACTGGGGTTGTTACCTGGAAGGCCTTGAATGTCAAGTTAAGTTCAGGGTAATGTGAAAGATTTTTGGACAGGAAAATAACGTGACTGACTTTAGAAGAATTAGTCTACTGTTGTTACAGAAGTTAACGGATAAAGACATTTAAAAAGGCAAGCATGAGCAGGCATTCTCAAAAGCTAAAGAATTAGATCAATTTTAGAAGTTAGAATGCAAGGCATTTGTGATAAATTAGTGATATTTTTGTAATTTATGCCTAGTTCCCTGTAACACTCCATAGAATGTTGAGTCGGAAGGCTTTTTTACTGAGGCACTATTAAGTTTGTTTTTCTGAATATCTTTTAAAACAAAACAGATTGTCTTTCACAGCACCTTCATTGAAAGACACTGCATTGGACCAGAAGTCTTGAAGACTTGGTTTGGTGATTCTTACTTTCTTGAAAATTAAAACCAAACCAGAATCACAAATACCCCTAAACATCAAAGCCTTTGTTAGTGTCCTGACCTCTTACCTAACCTTATTGATAATGCTTTCCTTCAGTCTGCCTCCTTGACTAGAGGAAGTTTTAAATAGCTTGGGTGCTGTTTATTGTGGCAGCTTTTCCTCTTCCCTCAGGAGGGGTCTTCCTCTATGCCTGCCACCATCTGTAACTTTGGCAACTAGAGGGGTGCTGTGTTCAGCTTGGGGCTAGATAGAAGGAAGGATGGCAGGCAAGAACAAATCTTATTAAGTAGTTAGTTCCCTGCTTATTTGCAGGGAAAGGCTGCAAGATTCTAAAAGACATGGGACTGTCTTCTCATTGACTGAATTCTGTTCAGTTTTAATATTGTGCTAGATACTGGTAGTAAGTAGGCCTGATACTGGTCTCTCCAGCCTGTGTATGATGTCAACAAGGGCTGTACAGGGACCTTGCTAGAGAAGCAAGGTACAGTTTCCAGAGGCCTGTGTACCTGGCACACATCTTAGTCGACAGGCATTCAGTGTTGTATGTATATGTATAAAGGTCATGTGGAGTTACTCCCACATTAAAACTCCAGTTTTACTTTAACGGAGGAATGAGGTTATATCGCTACACTTCAATTTTTCTACCGTTAGTTTTCTTTCTCTAGGTATTTACTTAGGTTACTTTCGGCATTACCAATCAGTTTGACTGGGCAATCCATGTATACAGCACAACATTCAAAAAATTGTATAATTGATATAAAGTAAGCCTTCTTCCTATCCTTGGTTTTGTATTTCCCTCCCCAGATAATTTCTTATGTATCTTTCCAAAAATATATTATGCCTATTTAAGCATATTTATATTCAAGGTGCAGTCTCTTCGTTCCCTGTCAGTCCAGAGAGAGCTGCATTATTTTTCTAAGTGGCTGAGAGGGACCTTAGAAAGCACCTAATCTAAGTTATGTATTTTTTGGAGGAGGAAACTGAGTCCCAGAGATGTTAAATAACTGGTTAGGATTCTGTTTTGTAGTGATCTGACTTTTCATTTATGTTCACTTGTTCTTTTGAAAATACATTTTAGTTAGGCCCTTTAGAATATTTTTACTCAGATTTTGGTTCATCTTTAGGCTTATGATTTCTTCCATACTTATGCTGTAGATTTTTAAATGTTTAGATGTTTAAATCTGGACATATTTATTTATTTACATAGGTGGCAGAGTGATTATCAAAGTTGTTCTCAGCATCCCATATCTCTGAGGATACCTTTGTGACATTTGTTTGATCTGCATATTTCATTTGGTGGTTTGAGAGATTAATTTTTTACTTTTTTCTTTCCCTATTACTAGACATACCTTTCAATGTTGAGCTTTTGGTATACTGTTCATATGATAAGACCATTTTATTTCTTTTCACTTTTTCAGTTGCTGTGTTTAGCACTTTACTTTCCTGGATTTCTTTTTTTTTTAAAGATAGGGTCTCACTCTGTCATCCAGGCCCCAGTGCAGTGGCCTGATCACAGCTCACTGCAGCCTGTACTTTCCAGGCTCAAGTGATCCTCCCACCTTTGCCTCTCAAGTAGCTGGGACCACAGGCATGCCTGGCTAATTTTTTTGTTTGTTTTCTGAGAGGTGGTATCTCCCTATGTTGCCCAGGCTGATCTCAAACTCCTCGCCTCAAGCAATCGTCCCACCTTGACCTCCCAGAGTACTGGAATTACAGATGGTAGCCACTGCGCCTGGCCTCCTTTCTTTCATTTTGTTTGCATATCTTATATATATTTGAATATGAGTTATTTTCCCCCTCATCTCTAATATGTTTTCTTAAAGTTGAACACCAGAGGCCTTCATTTTTTGAGCATTTTACGCTTATACTTTATTTCCCTTTTCTGTGCACAAATGCATTAGCACAGAGAAATTTGTAATATCCTGCAGACAAGAGACCACATTCTATACCATTTTGCCCATGCAATAAAGAGAACATCTTTTTATGTAATCACGTTATTGTAACTTATGTTATACATTGTTATATAAGTTATAACCCTAGTAAAATGCTTATTACATAAGGTGGTAAGGATGCTATGAGGGAATTTCAGTATTTCTTTTCTCTCCCTCTTCTCTACCCTTAAATATATATACTCATCTTAGTGCTGTGGCCATGCAACAATTCTATTAGATAAAAACAATGTGCTGATGCAAAGCAAGGAGCCCAAACATCTTTTTTATTATGTACATGTATGTATGTATGTGTATATGTATATGTACATACACATGAGTGTGTCCTATTTTATATATAGGCTCTTTGCAGGTAATTGGTTTCAGAATGGCTAGTCTAGTAAGCTTCTTCTCAAGGGTCTTTATGTGGATATGGACCTTTCAGGACCAGGGAATTTCTGCTGCCCTTAAGTGAAATGAATGGTAGAGTACACTGGGGATGTCTGATGGACTTTTAACCATTTTGGATGAAAACAGAGATGTCTGTTTTCATTTCTTTGTCTTTCATTGCAGAGGATTTATGGATGATTTGATGTAACTCCAAATGCCTCTTGGTATTTCTCATTTGCCAGACTAAGAGAGGGAAAGTTGGGACCTAGAAGACAAAGTTATTTCTGATTTATCCTTCTGTTATTAAATATACATTGGTGGTTAGAGACACTATTACTTTCAAAAGCTTTACAGGGAAAGATAGCCATTCTTCACTTCTCTTGATTGGATGAATTAAATAAAATAATACCATTAGTTACAAGGAGGGATCTCTAATTCTTTTGCTCTCTGAGACCACTCCTTCTCTCTTTCTTGCTCTCTCTTGTACGTGTGCACGCACACACACACACATACATACCCCAAAAGCTATAACTTTTTTTTTCTATTAGAGATGAAGATGACATCAATGATGTGACTTCTATGGCAGGGGTCAGCCTTAATGAAGAAAATGCCTGCATCTTAGCAACAAACTCTGAATTGGTTGGCACACTTATTCAGTCATGTAAAGATGAACCATTTCTTTTTATTGGAGCTCTACAAAAGAAAATTTTAGACATTGGTAAGTATAGAGTTATGATTATTACCTGATAGGAATGTCTGTTTGAGGGAAAATATCAAAACAGACAACCTGGAACTCTGAGACTTGAATAAGGCCCTAGAAATAATCAAGATTTCATGGGCATTATAGAAAAGAGTAGTTTAGTTAAAAATTTATTAATATAACATGGTTTTGGGTTTGGTTCATATTTTACTCATATTTCTTAATGGAGGAATAGTTGAATATATTTTACATGAATATATAATATAGTATACTATTTTTTTTTCTGTCCCTCCCTTTGTTAGACTTTTGGCATGTATGTATACAAATGCACACCTAAGTTACATGTTTGTGTTTATGAAATACAGGGATATCCAAAGAGAGTAAGTCCCTTTCCCTTTACTTAACCCTGAAATTTAAAGCCATCCTTGCTTTAAAAGAACTAGATTAGAGTCTTGGGGTCTCCCCTAGGTCCAGGAGTAGTTGTTAGATGGCTGCAGTGTGAAAGAAAATGTAAGAAAATACAGCCAGGTGTGTTTGTGGCATACGCCTATAATCCCAGCACTTTTGAAGGCCGAGGTGGGCAGATCACCTGAGGTCAGGAGTTTGAGACCAGCCTGGCCAACCCTGTCTCTACTAAAAATACAAAAAGTTAGCCCAGTGTGCTGGGGCATGCCTGTAGTCCCAGCTACTTGGGAGGCTGAGGCACAAGAATCACTTGAACTTAGGAGGCACAGGTTGCAGTGAGCCAAAATCATGCCACTGCACTCCAGATGGGAAAGATATTGTTGCATGTGAGTTAAACTATTTCTTGTGTCCTGACCCTGGGATTTATTCAGAGACCAACTCTTCTCCTTCTTCACCTTTGTCAAATTTTGGGGGCCAGTACTAATGAGCTTCAAATATACTTAAGAAAGACCTTTCTATTTTATAATGAAGGCTTGCTACAAAACGTGAAGGTTTCTGATTTTATAATAGTAATAGACTTTGTAGTCTTTAAATGGTACTCAGTAAATAAATGTTTTAGCTACTATATGCTATATAAATGACCAGGGTTTTTTTTTTTTTTTTTTGCATTTCTTCTTCCTCCCCACCTCCCGTCCCCCTGTCCCCGCATCCCCCAACCCAAGATGGAGTCTCGCTCTGTCACCCAGGCTAGAGTGCAGTGGTGTGATCTTGGCTCAGTGTGACCTCTGCCTTCCAGGTTCAAGTGATTCTTTTGCCTCAGCCTCCCAAGTAGCTGGGATTACAGGTGCCCGCCACCACGCCCAGCTAATTTTTGCATTTTTAGTAGAGACAGGGTTTCACCATGTTAGCCAGGCTGGTCTTTAACTCCTCACCTGAGGTGATCCGCCCACCTCCTAAAATGCTGGGATTACAGACGTGAGCCACCATGTCTGACCTACATTTCTAATTTAAATCAAGAGTACATTATTATGAGAAACTAGAACTTTCAAGTCCAGAAGAGCTGATTGTAAAATGTTTGTTTTCTGTTTGCTTATGTTTCCCTCCCTCCCTGTCTTCCTTCATTCCTTTACTTCTTCCATTTTATTCTTTGCATATGTATTTTGTATTATATAGAAACCAGTTCCTTAATTTGGGAACACGTATAAGCACTAAGCCTTCCTGTGATGGATTGGGAAATCTATTGGTAGTTTAATTCCTTAATGCCATATATTTATCTAGTGCTTTGGTAAAGTATAAGGAGATACTTAGTTTTATCAGTTACCCTCTCTTCCAAATTCTTTTTTTTTGGAATGGAGTTTCGTTCTTGTTGCCCAGGCTGGAGTGCAGTGGCTTGATCTTGGCTCACTGCAACCTCTTCCTCCCAGGTTCAAGCGATTCGCCTGCCACCACGTCTGACTAATTTTTTGTATTTTTAGTAGAGATGGGGTTTCACCATGTTGGCCAGGCTGGTCTCAAACTCCTAATGTCAGGTGATCCACCTGTCTTGGACTCCCAAAGTGCTGGAATTACAGGCATGAGCCACTGTACCTGGCCTCCTTCTAAATTTTATTTCCAGTTTGATTTAAAGCTTGATTATATGATAGAAATTTTTTCACATTAAAGGCATTTTTGATCACTTAGCACAGGGATAAGCAACATTTTCCTTCAAAGGGCAGATAATATTTGCCACTTTTGTAGGTTATATAGTTTCTGTCACAATTGCTCAACTCTGCTGTCATAGTGCAAAAGCAGCCATAGACAATATGTAAACAAATGGGCAAGATTGTCTTAGCCATCTTGAACTGCTATAACAAAATACCATAAACTGGATGGCTTAAACAACAAATGTTTATTTCTCATAGTTCTGGAGGTTGGCCATTTGAGATCAGGGTGCCAGCACAATCAGATTCTTGGTGAAGGCCCTCTTTCTGGTTGTCAGACAGCCATCTTCCTGCTGTGTTTTCATGTGGCAGAAAGGTAACTAGCTAGCTCTCTCTCATGTTAGGGTGAAGGCAATACTTTTATGACCTAATTATCTCCCAAAGGCCCCAACTCCAACTGCCATCTCACTGGGATTAGAGCTTCAACATGAATGAATTTTGGGGAGATGCACACATTCAGTCCATGCAACTGCATCCCCATAAAACTTCACTTAACAAAGAGTGATCAGATTTGGCCTGTTGGCCATAGTTTGGCAACCTCTAATTTAGCAAAGTAAGGGAACAACTATTTGCATTTTTATTTCTTTTTTAAAAAAATACTTATTTTTGAGATGGGGTCTTGCTCTGTTGCCCAGTCTGGAGTGCAGTGGCGCCATCACGGCTCACTGCAACCCCAACTTCCCAGGCTCAAGTGATCCTCCCCTTTTGAAGTAGCTGGGACTACAGGCATGCCCTATTAAATCTGGCAAATTTTTGTATTTTTCTGTAAAGATGGGGTCTCATTGTGTTACCCAGGTTGGTCTTGAACTCGTGGGCTTAAATCATTTTCAGTTCTTAGTGATGAATTACAAACCTCTTAAATAATATGGAAAACTAGTAGAATTCTTACTTCTGAATTATCTAAATGATCTTTTTTGTTTTTATTTTTTAAAAAAGATCATAGAGTGATTGGAGTTACATATTTCTAGAAATGTTTTCCATTTATAATAAAATTCCATCCTTGTAGAATAGGTCAGAACCAAGGCTACCTCTTAAAAATAGAAATTACAAATTTGCCCCAAGATTTTCTTTTTGGAAAAAGGATTTTTCTACTTGAATAATGTTAAGCGATAAAAATGCCAGTGTTCTTTTTTTCTAATTACCTAAATTAAATTTTACAGACATTCAATAAAATCACATAACTAGTGTGCAAGCACCAACTAGATCTCATTAATCAGTTTTGTTGATTTTGTTAAAAAGGGTGTTTTGCTTTAAAATGGGAATTTTTCTACAGTATTTTACTTTGTAATTGTAAGTTGTATTTTATTACGTATGTGAAGACATTACAACATTTGGTTGCTTGCTAAGCCCTGGAATCGTTTAATCTCAGCATTTGTTTATTTCTAATATTTAAAAGATATGTGTATTTTTTATATTGGATGAATTACCTCTGTTTTATGAATACATATTAAATTATTTTCAAAGGTTCCTCCCCAAACACTAAGGTGGCTCACATCTGTAATCCCAGCCCTTTGGGAGGCTGAGGCAAGAGGATTGCTTGAGCCTAGAAGCTAGAGACCAGCCTGGGCAACATAGCCTGGCAACAGTTCTTTTTTGTACAGACCCAATCTGTACAAAAAATTCAAAAATTATCTGGGCCTGGTGGCACATGCCTGTACTTCTAGCTACTCAGCAGGCTGAGGTGGGAGGATTGCTTGAGCCAGGAAGGTCGAAGTTGCAGTGGGCTGCATTCCAGCCTGGGTGACAGAGTGAGACCCTGTCTCAATAATAATAGGCCTGGCATGGTGGCTTACACTTGTAATCTCAGCACTTTGGGAGGCTGAGTCAGGTAGATCACTTGAGGTTAGGAGTTTGAGATCAGGCTAGCCAACATGGTGAAACTCCATTTCTACTAAAAATACAAAAAAAAATTTAGCCATGTGTGGTGGTACACGCCTGTAAGTAATCCCAGCTACTCGGGAGGCTGAGGCAGGAGAATTGCTTGAAACTGGGAGGCAGAGGTTGCAGTGAGTGGAGATTGTACCACTGCACTCCAGCCTGGACAACAGAGCAAGACTCCATCTCAAAAATAAATAAATAAATAAATAAATAAATAAATAAAATGAAATTGTACTTTTTCTTCTATAGAAGGCCCTACTATTTGTTTATGCTGAGGGTTTTTTAAAGTAGATTTGACTTTGTAGAATGTTTTTCCCTGCCTGAATGTGAGATTGGAGGGAAATTCAGCTTTGTTACAAGTAATGAACTACATTTTGAAGGGTTGGTTTAGAAGCTGATTGATTTTATTTCTTCCTATTTGCTTTTATTATATGATAATATCAAAGAATATATTTGAGTTGTTGACTTTTAATTTAAGCGTATTTTTCTCTAGATCACCCTTTGATGAGAATGAGTATATCTCAAATAAATTAGAATACAAAATCAAACAAAAATATTTTGAAAATGCCTATCTGTATGTTAAAAACAGTCATAGTAAAATAGATTACCTAATTGCCTGTATCTTTAGATTTAGGCCTCTGTTAATATAGGTGGTTTCACTAGGCCTTAGAAATACTATTTAAATACTGATAAGGTTGATTTACAAATGAACTTCTCAGTATGTGGTTCAAATTGTTTTCCTGAAATTTTTTTGCTAGTTAGCAGAAGGAATAAATTTGGTTTATTTATTGAAAGAAAATCTAGTGAGAGAGAAATTATTCAGATAGGTAGGTGAAATGATGAGGTTTTGAACCCATTTGAACTTGTAAATTGATTACCTAGTAAATACATCAGAACACCAGTTAGTGCAAAGTAAACATGATTGGTAATGGACAAAAGGAATATAGGTATGTCTTGTAGACAAGGCATTAACAGAGACCCACAATCTGAATTCATTTAAATAAATGTCATAAACTGTTAACAGTGTCAAACAGGGCGAAATGTAATTTTCTATTTTTTTAATTACTAGAATTAACAGAATACGGTACTAATTTCTGCAGTTACCATTTTCCTCCCTGAACAGTAGACTTGATTTGTGTTCTTATTAACTTTGTCCTATAAATGACCTTGCAAGGAGAATAATTCTGGAGGCTAAGTGAAACAATGTCTATATTTTCTGAGGCTTCAGGCTAGGTTTTATTAATGTAATGTCTAAAATCTTTGAAGTTGTGACTTTACTAGAAAAATCATAATCTCCAAACCTTTATTCATAATGGGTATGACTTCCAGGGGGAACAGAATACCTGCTGTGCTAATTATTTCAATTATCAGCCACTACTAAAACACGTAATGGATTTTCTCTGCTTCCACAGGTAAAAAGCATGACATTACAGAACTTAACTCTGATGCTGTGAACTTGATCTCCCATGCAACACAGGAGCGATTACGAGGCCTTCTAGAAAAACTGACTGCAATTGCTCAGCATCGAATGACTACTTACAAGGTAAAGGAAATCGTTAAGGAAGTATAAACTCTTGAGTGCCATAGGTTGTCTTTTGGGCGTGGATTGATATTCTAAACACATTTTTAAAGGAGTGGTTGAGACATGTATTTCATATTAGTGGAAAATCAAAGTCTCATTCTTAATTTGTCTTATTTAGATATGCTTACATGACAAATAAAATTAAAATAGAGTTTAAAATGATATTAAAAGCTTCTATGTCACTGTAGATTGAAATATGTATCTGTTCTGCCTGAGGCTTCTCTAAAAGCTTTTGATGGGGAAGGAAAGATAGTTAGAATGGAACATTGGCTACTCGTGTTCTCTTCAGTGGTCTGTACTCTCCTAACATTCCTGTTTTTTTTTTTTTGTTTGTTTTTCTTTTTTTGCCTTTCAGTGTTGCAGAGATTTATTTATTTTAAAATAAATTTTTTGTATATATTAATATTTAAAGCATACAACATGTTATAAGATACAAATATATAGTAAAATTATTACTATTTAGTTGAACAAATTAACATTTTCATTATCTCAAAGCTACCCATTTTCTCCCTTGTGGCAAGAGCAGCCATAATCTACTCATTTAGCAGAATTTCTGAAAACAATATATTACTAACTATAGTCCTTATGTTCTACATTAGATCTTTTCACTTGTTCATCCTCTGTTCCTTTTAATAAGTTAAATGATTGCATGGAGTGCTCGTATTGATGCTACTTATTGTTATTGGCTACTTTTATTAAAAAAAAAAAAAAAATACAGGAATAGCCTGTATCCCTAGTGGTGTGAACCAAATGACTTGTTGTTATCAAGACAAAAGCACTTGATGTAATTTTGGAGGATGGCAAATCGTTGAGTGATTAGGGATGGAAAGAAAAGGTAGCCTGATATGAAAAAAGAAATAAGATAACTATTTCCCTCTTTTCAAGCAATGTTTATATCTAGACTTTGAGTAAGATGGTATATAGGTAACCTTAAGAGATTTTGAATTTGGAAGAATGGTCAGTGCCATAATATCCTAGTCAAAGGTTAAAGGAAACTAGGAAATTGTCAGCTACTACACCACCAATAAGTTCCCTGGAGGAATCATTTTGTTTTTTTTTCCTTTCTGCTTCATTTAGAACTTTGGAAAAACTGCATATGATTGCTAAGGTCCTCACTTGCATAAATCTTTGTGAGAATTTGCTGGACTGACTTAGGAATATATGATCAACAGGAGAAAAAGCTATGAAAAAAGCAAAAAATCAATATCAGTATTTTATAATTCCTAGAAACACAAAAAGAAATAAACATATTAATTTTGTTTTTCTAGAAATTTTTTCATTTCTCCTAGTATCTAATTTGTTGGCATATGACTGTTTATAATACCCTTATAACCTTTTATTTCTGTAAGATCAATAGTAATGATCCCCCTTACATTACTGATTTTTGCTATTTGCATCTTCTCTTTTTTTCTTTGCTAGGAAAGTGAATGGTTTGTCAATTTTGTTAATCTTTTCATTCAAATAACCAACTTTTGGTTTTATTAATTTTCTCATTTGTTTTTCTTTTTTTGACTTTATTTATCTCCACTCTAGTTTTTTTTTTTTTTTTTTGAGACGGAGTTTCGCTCTTGTTACCCAAGCTGGAGTGCAATGGTGCGATCTCGGCTCACCGCAACCTCCGCCTCCTGGGTTCAGGCAATTCTCCTGCCTCAGCCTCCTGAGTAGCTGGGATTACAGGCACGCGCCACCATGCCCAGCTAAGTTTTTGTATTTTTAGTAGAGACGGGGTTTCACCATGTTGACCAGGATGGTCTCGATCTGTTGACCTCGTGATCCACCCGCCTTGGCCTCCCAAAGTGCTGGGATTACAGGCTTGAGCCACCACGCCTGGCCCCACTCTAGTTTTTATATTATTTATTTCTAAGTTTCAGACTTAGTTTGCTCTTTTTTTTTTTTTTTTTTTTTTTTTTTTAGTTTCATAAGATGTAAAGTTAGGTTTTTTTATTTGAGATCTTCCTTTTCTAATGCAGGCATTTACTGCTATAAATTTCCCTCTGAGTACTGCTTTCACTGCATTCTGTAAGTTTTGGTATGTTATGTTGTCATTTTCATTTATCTTTAAATATTTTCTCATTTCTTTTGAGATTTATTTGATACTTTGTGACTGTTTAAGAGTATGTTGTTTAATTTCCAAATATTTGGGAATTTTCCGGTTTTCCTTCTGTTGTTGGTTTCTAACTTCATTCCATTGTGGTCAGAGAAGATACTTGTATGAATCATTCATTTAAAATTTATTGAGACTTGTTTTATAACCTAACGTACATTGTACAGTATCCTGGAGAATACTTCATGTACACTTGAGAAAAATTTGTTTTCTGCTCTTGTTTCATAGATGTCTGATAGATACAGTTGGTTTATGATGTTAAGTCCTCTGTTTCCTTATTGATCATCCATCTGGATGTTCTATTCCTTATGGAAAGTGGGGTATTAAAATCTTCAACTATTGTGGAACTCCTTTCTTTTTCTTTTTGTTTTAGATATAGTGTCTCACTGTGTCACCTAGGCTGTAGTGTAGTGGTGCAATCATAGCTGATTGCAACTTCAGACTCCTGGGCTCAAGCCACCCTCCCCCATCAGCCTCTCAAGTAGCTAAGACTAACAAGGTGTGTGCCACCACACCCAATTAATTTTTTTTTTTTTTTTTGAGATGGGGGTCTCACTATGTTGCCTATGCTGTGGAACTGTTTTTAAACAAAATTCTGTCAGTTTGTTTGCTTCATATATTTGAGAACTCTGGTTTGATGTGTCTATTTTCTTGATGAATTGACCCTTTTATCAATACATAATGTCCTTGTTTGTCTCTTTTAACAGTTTTGTACTTAATTTCTATACTGTCTGATATTACTTTCTTGGTTGTTACTTGCATGGAATATCTTCTTCCATCCTTTCACTTTTAGTGTATCCATATGGTTTCAACTAAAGTGTAGACAGCATGTAGTTAATTCATTCTGGTAGTCTACCTTTTGATTGAAGAGCTTAATCCATTTACATTTAAAATGTAATTACTGATAAGAAAGAACTTGTATTTTACTATTTGTTTTCTGTATGCCTTATAGCTTTTGTGTTCCTCATTTTTTCTGCTTATGTTTAATTGGTTGTTTTTGTTTTGTACCATTTTGATCCCCTTCTCATTTCGTTTTGTATTTAGATATCTTCTTAGCAGTTATCATAGAGATTACAGTTAACATCCTAAATCTACAATCTAGTTTGGATTGTTATCAGCTTACCTTTAATTTTGTGATGTGGAAAAATTATAGACATCTTTTTGGCTTTTTACTATAACTTTTTAAAGCATCTTATAGTTGTTCAAACCTGGAGTCTCCCTACCTTTGCCTTAATCACACTGTTGCTTCAGAGATACATGAATACCTTTTTTAGTAGAGACAGGGTTTTGCCATGTTGGCCAGGCAGGCTGGTCTCAAACTCTTGGCCTCAAGTAATCCACCCTCCTCGGCCTCCCAAAGTGTTGGGATTACAAGTGTAAGCCACTGTTCCTGGCCACATGAGTACTTCTCGATTTATAGTAAGCAATTTCTATATAAAACATAGTATAATTTACAATAGAATAGAATTTTTTAAAGTAGTATTTATTGAATGCCATTCAGTGCTCTATGGTTTATAGCTTTCAGCTGGAATTCTTCTGTTGTATATCAGTAGCATATTTCTAAAGATTTAGTTGCACTAGGCAAAATGGATAGTATCTCCCCCACCTAGAAGACCTCAGTAAGTTAGCTTAAAGCTAACACCTCCTTAACCTGCTGTCTTGTATACTGCCTATTCTAACTGATTTTCTCCAGCTTTTTCCCCCCCACATTCATTTCTTGATACAGCTAATGCCACTGTCTATATTTGCATATATTAGAAAAAACAAAAGATTATCAGCCCTCTTTTAAGTCAAAATAATTATTATTTAGTTATATTTGGATTCAGTTTAAAATCACCCTTATTTTGTAGACTTTGTAATAATCTTTATGTCACAGATTTAGTCCTGTCCTTGTATTTCAGTTCATCCCTGATAGGATTTCTACTCCATAGATTTTGTAAAAGTGAACTACTGTTATTTAAAAAGTGAAATCCCCCCATCTCTTTCTACTCTGGAACATCCATTTACTTTTGATAATCTTTCACCTGGTTTGATACAATTCTTTAATTAATCATTAGTCATAAACTGAGATCTAAGTAAATAAGTAGAAAGTGACATGTAGTATAGAGCTTCTGATCTTGCTACCAGGTATTTTCCCATTGAAGATATGGTATAGTTGCCTATATGCCATGGTCATGGAGAAGCTTCATTTAGTGTTTTCCAGTTGAAAGGTGCTATACAGGTTCCTTTAGATGGGATTCATTTGATGGTGCTGATGTCATTTGGCCTGGGTTATTACAGTTTCATGGCTAAATCATTTAATATGCAGTGGCCCTAACATTGGAAAGCCCTATTCTGTTGGTGCTTGAAATCTTCACTTAGGCCAGCTGGGTATACTGGAAAGAACATGTTAAGATTGGGGTTACTGTTGTATAAATAAGGTTATAGACTTAATATGAAGAGGAAAGGCGCACGTTTGTGATATGGAAGAGAAAAGGATGCATATGTCAGAGGTAGTTGTATATCAGTTGGGGAAGAGAGAGGAAGGAATCTTAGCATGAGAATATGATTGGGTTAAAATTTTAAAAGTCTGTGTCCCTTTTTAATTTAATGTTTGCTGTCCCTTTTAAATTAAATTGCATCATTAAACTATTTCCAGAGTGTCTAAACACAAAAATGGTATAGATTAAGTGTTTAAGAAACCACTGGTTATTATATTTAACCTCTATGGTTAGCCTATAATGTATTCAATATTCTATCTTGTGTTATTTAACTTTAAAAACATTTGAAAATTCTTTTTGTATTAAACATGAAGTAAAATAAGTAGCACTAATATATCCTTGTTCCTTAAACTATGTAATACTCTTTTGATCTAGTTAAATACCAACAATAAAAATTTAATTTAAAAAGAATCTTGGGCATATGAAATCTCTCAGTCCCAGTTAATTGAATCAGCCATAAGCATGGGGATAAAACAAAGATGGGAGTGGTGTGGTGCTCGTGATTTCCAGGCCAGGCACTGACTGTTGTTTAAAGACCTTTGGTTTTTCTACTGTACAGTTTCTGAATTACTGAGATGAGTAGATGGCAGGATGTCTTGAACAGTGACTGGAAAGCTCTTCCTGTCCCATCACCTCCCCTAACTTCATCTCCCACTTCTCCCTATACACATTCATAGAGGTGGAAGAGGCAGCTGTGTAGGTGAAGAAAATTAGAAAAGATTTAGGTGGGAAAGCACTGTTTTATACCTACAGAATTAATTGAGCAATTTGCATTTTATCATTTTATGGAACAATTAAGACAATTTATACTTCTGTTATGGCTCTCTTTTATAAATTATATATTAAATTTCTTTGACTGCAGTTTCTGTCCAAATTCACACTTCCTGTTAATCTTCAAAATAGCATTTCAGGATTTAATGTTTGCTATCTTGACTTAGGTTGTATTTTGTTAGAAGTTATATTCAAGGCTGGGCGCGGTGGCTCAAGCCTGTAATCCCAGCACTTTGGGAGGCCGAGGCGGGTGGATCACGAGGTCAAGAGATCGAGACCATCCTGGTCAACATGGTGAAACCCCATCTCTACTAAAAATACAAAAAATTAGCTGGGCATGGTGGCGCGTGCCTGTAATCCCAGCGACTCGGGAGGCTGGGGCAGGAGAATTGCCTGAACCCGGGAGGCAGAGGTTGCGGTGAGCCAAGATCGCGCCATTGCACTCCAGCCTGGGTAAAAAAAGCGAAACTCCCTCTCTAAAAAAAAAAAAAAAAAAAAAAAAGAAGTTATATTCAGTTGTCAAGGTTAAACCAATCTAACCATGGTAACCAAGTTGATAACTTTCATCTTTGGTATATTTTTCAGTGAGGTGATTGTTTCTTGCTTTCTGTCTTTCACAAAACTAAGATTTAATTACTTAAAGTCTGCTGAGGTAGATAATAATCTAGAAAGATTTAAGTTATTGGTGAACGGACCACTCTTTAGTTTCTACATCCTATTGTTGGAAGGATCTTCTTGGCTTGATTCCTTCCCCCGCACCCCTCAATGATGTTTACTAGGAAAGGTCTTTGAAACATAACTGGTTAATCACCTCTCAAATTTTAAGGATGAGGCCAGGCACAATGACTCATGCCTATAATCCCAGGATTTGGGAGGCCAAGGCAGGTGGATCGCCTGAGGTTGGGAGTTCAAGACCAGCCTGACCAACAGGGAGAAACCCCATCTCTACTAAAAATACAAAATTAGCCGACATGGTGGCGAATGCCTGTTAATCCCAGCTACTCAGGAGGAGAATCGCTTGAACCCAGGAGGTGGAGGTTGCAGTAAGCTGAGATTGCACCATTGCACTCCAGCCTGGGCAACAAGAGTGAAACTCCATCTCAAAAATAAAAAATAAAATAAAATAAAACAAGAAAAATGAAATGTTAAGTTTATTTTCTAGTGGGGTGGGTGTGGGGGGGATGTTTGTTTAATAGAAACAAAACCATTACCTTCTGAAAGTTTAGCTTCCTATTTATGTTGGTGTTCTTGCCTTTAGCAGGTTTATAACAATACCTAATGTAGAATATGCTGCCCAGGATCATTATAAGACTTTCTTTTTTCTTTTTTTTCCCAGGCAAGTGAAAATTATATCCTGTGTAGTGATACCAGGTCACAGCTCAAATTTCTTGAAAAGCTGGATCAATTGGAGAAGCAGAGAAAGGATTTGGAAGAAAGAGAAATGTTACTTAAGGCAGCCAAGGTAAGGGCCAGTGTGATTTATGAGTGAACGTGGCCTGGCAGTGTGGTCAGAGGTGGCTTTGTCATTGGCTGACTGTTGTGGTTTTATTAGGCCTTTAGATTTCTCCAGAGGATTTCCTAAAATGAAATTACTAATAGGATGTCTCACAGCCGGGATGGTGTGGTGGCTTTCAGTTAATTTAGTTTAATGAGTCATAATCTTTTGTCTCCTCACATTTCCTGTGTGTCCTCCCTATCCCCAGCCCCAGGTAAAATGTTTTGTAAAATTTCAGGGTCTATTTAGAAGTCCAATTTGATGCATGCCAAGTTGAAGTTGAGAGGGGGAAATTTGGAAAGTAGATAGGAAGGTTATGGGTAAAATTAGTAATTTGAATTTTGTGGAACAAAATACAGGCTAGGTGGAAATAGAGTAAAAGAACAGTAAGGCTATTTATTTATTTATTTTCCTTCTCCTTTATTTAAACATTTTCCTGGGTTATTAATGTCAGATGAAGTAAAAGCTGATTCCACTACAGTTTCCATTTTGAAGCTCCACATTTCTTCATAGGTGTGGGGTCATTGTGAGAAATCTTAAAGATTCAGCACTAGAGTCTTAATTTTTGTTTTAAGCACATTTGTTTTAATTTCTAGTGTTCTTGATAGCTTCCCTTTTTAGAGTATTTGTTCCTAATCACATACCAATTGCTTTTTGAAAAACTAATTTATTTTGAAATTATTTAATACTCACAGAAAAGTTGCCAAAACTGTGCAAAGTACTCTCAGCCCCCTTTCCCAGTTTCCCCAATTTTAACATTTTACTACATTTGCTTTATTTCTACCCTTACATTTTGTTTTTTGAGACAGAGTCTCACTCTGTAGCCCAAGCTAGAATGCAGTGGCATGATCTCAGCTTATTGCAACCTCTGCCTCCCAGGCTCAAGCGATTCTCCTGTCTCAGCCTCCTGAGTAGCTAGGACTACGGGCGCTCACCACCATGCCCAGCCGATTTTTTTGTGATTTAGTAGAGATGGGGTTTCACCATGTTGTCCAGGGTGGTCTCGAACTCCTGAGCTCAGTCCGTCCACCTGCATCTCCCAAAGTGCTGGGATTACAGGCATGAGCCACCATGCCTGGCCTTATCTCTTTACCCTTTCTATACACACAGTCATTAGTCCCCTTCCTCTCATCCTCCCTTTCTCCCTTCCCCACTTCCCCACTTCCTCTCTTCCTACCTTTCTTTCTTCCCCTCCCCTCTTCTCTTTCTCTCCTCTTTCTCTCTCCTTTTCTTTTTTCTTTTCGAGACAGCCTCACCCTGTTACTAGGCTGGAGTATAGTGATGTGATTGTGGCTCACTGCAGTCTTCTCTCAGGCTCAAGCAGTCTTCCCACATCAGTTTCTCAAGTAGTTAGGACTGCAGGCACATACCACCACGCCTGGCTAAATTTTCATCTTTTGTGGAGACAGGATCTCCCAACAATGTTCAAGCTGATCTCAAACTCCTAGACTCAAGCAGTCCTCCTGCCTCAGCCTCCCAAAGTGCAGAGATTACAGGAATGAGCCACTGTGCCTAGCCATTTTTCTTTTCCTAACCTTTTTGAAAGTAGTCTTCAGATATGATGTCCCACCTCTCCTAAGCATTTTTGTTTGCACCACTATCATCGAATGCACAGAACCCATTCTGATTTCACCAGTTGGCCCAACCATGTCTCTTTTTCTTTCATGATCCATTTTCTGATTTAGGAATTTGCATTTGATGTAGTTGTCATCTCTTTTCAGACCCTTTTAGGGTTTCTCAGTCTTTCTCTTTTATGCCCTTGACAGTTTTCAAGAGTATAAGCCTTACCTTCTAGTAGGATGACCTTCAACCGGGGCTGATCTAAGATTTTCTTATGATTTTACTTAGGTCAAGCATTCTTGGCAGGAATGCACAGAAATGATGCCACATTCTTCTCAGCTGATCATATCAAAAGGATCATATGGGTACCTACTAATTCTCTCTATTTTAAACTTGCCGTCTCCTCTACTTTTTGTTTTTGATTTTTATTTTTTTGAGATAGGGTCTTGCTTTGTTGCCCAGACTAGAGTGCAGTGGTATGATCACTGCTCGCTATAGCCTCGACCTCCTGGGCTTAAGCAATCTCCCACCTCAGCCCCCTAAGTAGTTGGGACTACAGGCATGTGCCACCACACCTGGATAAATTTTTTAATTCTTTAGAGATAGAGTCTCACTACATTGCCCAGGCTCATTTTTCCCTTTGTAATCAATTAGTTTTTCATAGGAATGTATTCTAAGATCATGCCGATATCCTATTCCTCATCAAACCTTCATGTATTAACCATAGCATCTGTTGTGATGTCTGCCTAAATCAGCTACCTCTGTCCTGATTGCAAAATGTCAATTCTTTATTCCCACCGACTGTCCGCAGTTAGCACCCTACCATGTGGAAGAGCTTCCCTTCTTTATTCATATTAGTATGGACTCATGATTTCTCTTTGTTTCAATAGGTTGTAATTCATTACTGTCATTTATTTTGTCGCTCAAATTACCCCTGAGTGGGAGACGCTTCCAGCTGTCACTTCTGTCCCTTAGTAATGTGTCCATCCATCACTCACTGAGCATGTCCTTACTTTCAGGCACAAGGCACTCCAGGCCCAGCTTTTAGTGCTGTAGCCCTGAAATCAGCCATTTTTTAAGTAGCCTGCCTTCTTTTTGATTGAGGACGGCATTCAGAAACCAAGCTTAGGTCATAGAGTGTATTCATTGCTAAACGGGTGTTATTGCATGTAGGTCCTCTCAAAGGACAGATCTAGGAAATGCATATATGATATGTATATGTACAGATATGTATATATACACACAAATGTCCATCCGTAACTATTTCTATATCTGTATATATTATAAAATCATGAGTTTGTATGGATACCTGCAACTCCAATTCAGGGCTTCAGAGTTCTTTCTACCCTTAATCTCTCCATGTTTGTAAAAACATTCTCCCGTCTTGAGAAACTTGGCTCCCATTATCCTTCATATGTTTAACTTATGTCCTCTATCAATTATTTGATCAATGTAACTAATCTCTCAACTAGCCATGCTGGCTGAGTCCTCTGTCTGCTACTAGTAATTTCTCCATCCAATTTCATTGCTGTATAATTGCCTACCATGCTTACTGGCCTATTCCTTGATAAGACTGCCACTCCCTCACCGCCTTGTATTCTTCACCACTGGCCTATACCTTCAAATGCCCCAGCTCACCATAAGGATATGGGGCACCATAGCCTTGTCACTGTGCAGCTTCCTGCTGTCTCAGTCTCAGGCCCCACGTTGGCACCTACTGCATTAGGAAGAGCAGGAAGATGGGACAGAAAGATGCTCTTTCTTGAGCCCTCAAGTGTTATAAGTGAGCACTTAGTCATTGTAATGAGGTGGTTTTTTGGTGTTTTGTTTCCACTTACTGTGTTGTAAACAAGGTCATAAACTATTAAATACTAGTTTAGTTATTATTGAATATGATAATACTTGCTCTTTATCTCCTTTGGCTTTTCCTTCTTTACCAGACATCTAAATATTGGATTTCATAGCTTTCAATCCTATGCCACCTTCTCTGTCTTTATTCTCTCTTAAGTTTGTATCTCCAATTTAGCCTGCATTCTGAAAATTTGGACTCATACCATTAATTGCCTGCTTGACATGACTTCATTGGCTAATGGTTATTTCAAAATTAATATGTCCAAAAGGGCTCCTGTTATTCCTTTCCCCTCTAAATACCTTTTACTGTCATAGATTTTCCTGACTCAATAAATGACACCATCATTTGCCCAGACATTCAAGCCAAAAAACATAAGAGTCATCTTTACCTCCATTCTGTATCTCGTCTCTCCCCACATCCAAATCACCTCTTATCTTATTTCTAAAATGTTTCCAGCTTTTCTTCATCACTGTTGGCACTACTCTAGTCTAATTTATCTTTCATTTGGACTTTTATGCTACCTTCTAACTGGTTCTCTTTTCCTTCTACAATCCCTTCTATTTCTCCTACTATGGTCAGAATAATGTTTTTATAATCATGTTTGTCTCTGTTGCTTAAAAGCCTTCAGTGAGTTCCTGTAGAACTTAAAATGTAAAGTTCTTATTAGCAAATTTTAAAAGGCCTCATGTTATTTGGCACTCTCCTACTCTGCCCCAGCTACACTGACCTTTCTTTTCCTTGAATGTGCCAAACTTGCGCTCAACTTAGGATATTAGACTTCTAATTAGGCATCGAAAACTGACCATTGAGTTCCCTTTCCCTAAGTCTGCTTTTTCTTAGATCTCTACTCTCTTAGAAAGCTGCAGTTGCCAGCCGGGCACGGTGGGGCTCACACCTGTAATCCCAGCACTTTGGGAGGCTGAGGTGGGCAGATCACCTAAAGTCAGGAGTTGGAGACCAACCTGGCCAACATGGTGAAACCCCATCTCTACTAAAAATACCAAAAATCAGCCTGGCATGGTGGCAGGTGCCTGTCACCCTAGTTACTCAGGAAGCTGAGACAAGAGAATTGCTTGAACCCGGGAGGTGGAGTTGCAGTGAGCCAAGATTGGGCCATTGCCCTCCAGCCGGGGCAACAAGAGTGAAACTTAGTCTCAAAAAAAAAAAAAAAAAAAGTTATTTGCAATTACCATCCTCCAAGTTGCTTAGGCCAAAATCCCAGGAGTCATCCTTGATTCCTCTCTTTCTCTTTACTTCATAATCTATATCCAGCCCATCAACAAATCTCATCAGGTTTTCCTGCAAAGATATGTTTTGAATGCAACTGTTTATCAGCTTCTGTGCTATGAAGCTAGTCCCATATGCTATGACTTCTTTCTAGTCAATCTCTTTTTCACAACAGTTGCTTTAGAGCAGTCTACGAAAAGCTCTGTGTGCCTGTGCCTTCAATCTTGGATCCCTGCAGTGCACCCTCTACAGAGTGGACAGAGCCATTTTTTGAAAGTGTTACATCAGTGGCATCTCACCCTTGTGTTCCAAACATGCCAGTAGATTTTTTTTTTTTTTTTTCAGATGTTTTGCTCTTGTTGCCCAGGCTGGAGTGCAATGGTGGTCTCGCCTCTCTGCAACCTCCGCCTCCTGGGTTCAGGTGTTTCTCCTGCCTCAGCCTCCCAAGTGGCTGGGATTTCAGGGACCTGCCACCATGCCTGGCTAATTTTTGTATTTTTAGTACAGACGGGGGTTTCACCATGTTGGTCAGACTGGTCTCAAACTTTTGACCTCAGGTGATCCGCCCACCTCAGCCTCCAAAAGTGCTGGGATTATGAGCATGAGCCACCACACCTGGCCCAATTTTTACAGCTAAAATTAAACACCCAACTCCTTTAACATGGCCTACAAGGTGACACATGATCTCCAACCTTTCTCTTTCAATTTTTTTCTATGCTTCAACCACATGGGCCATCTTTCTTTCCTCGAGTATGTTCCCATTTTAAGGCTTTAGCAATTACTGTCTCTTCTGCTTGTATTGTTTCCCCCCAGATCTTTGCATGACTACATCTTTCTTGTCATTTAGATCTCTAATCAAACATCACTTCTCAGAAATGTCTTCCCTACTATCCTAGCTGGAGAAGTACACACCACACTTCTCTTTCTATCACATTATTCTATTTATTTTCTTTATTTTTGTTTTCAATTTCAATTTTAAATTTTATATATTTTATTTTTAAATTATTATTACTATTTTTTTTGATACAGGGTCTCACTCTGTCATCCATCCTGGAGTGCAGGGCGCTATCTCAGCTCACTGCCACCTCCACCTTCTGGGTTCAAACAATTCTTGGGTCTCAGCCTCGCAAGTAGCTGGGACCACAGGTGCACACCACCACACCCAAATTAAATTTATTTTATTTTGAAACAGGGTCTCATTCAGTTACCCAGGCTGAAGTGCAGTGGCATGATAATAACTCACTGCAGGCCTACCCACCCACTTCAGCCTGCCGAATAGCTGAGACAATAGGCACGTGTCAGTACGCCTAATTTTTTTTTTTTTTTTTTTTTTTTAGTAGAAATGGTATCTTGCTGCATTACACAGGCTGGTCTCAAACTTGGGCTCAAATGGTTCCCCCACCATGGCCTTCCAAAGTACTAGGATTACAGGTGTGAGCCACTACCTCAGGCCTATTTAATCTCCTTTATAGCACTTAGCAGTGTCAGCAATTACTTATTTTGCGTTTTTACCCATCACTAATGTTTTACATATCATGTGTTTCATTTTTATAAAATTGTTTATTTTTCTCTTCTTAAAATGTAAGTTACTTGAATTATTACAGTTATTTTGTCTCCTTATATCATCTGTCTCCAAGGTCTAGAACAGTGGCATACAGAATAGAATCTGTACTATGGATGACCAATAAATCTTTGATCACTGACAAAGACTTGATACCAAAATGTGCCCATTTTATATTGGGGCAAAATATTTTATACACACCCACATATATTATATACATAATGCATATTTTAATATAAATACTTATATACAGACTCATTCTCTGCTGATACTGTAGCTAGAGTAACAAAACAGTTTATCTTTGAAATGAAATGTCTTAGTAGATTGGGGACTAAAATGAAGAAAAATTTTACCAGCTTTGGGTTGAATTTGTATAGATATTTAAGATATTTGAAATTAGTAGGCACTCAGATTTGAAGATAATGTCTTATATTTTCCTTTAACCAAAGGTACTGGTAAATCAATAAATGTATCAGGTAAACTTAGTAAATATGAAATACTTTTAGCTTTTATTTAGTTAGTTATCTAGATATTAGCTTACTTAGTTAAGGTTGCATTTTATAGAACAAATATTCAGATTTATAAGCAGTTAAATAACTTTGACATGAGAAAAAGGATATACATATCCCAAACATGTTTTCCAGTGGACAGATGTTCATGGTGTCAGAAATAAAGTTCCTCACCCTTTATTCCATCATAGCTTGATACATAGAAGACGGCTTTCTTCTTATGCCAGTCCTGTGCTATGGAAAGCGACATCCAATAAATTATTGAACTTTGTCCACAGCATTCTGTTAAGTGCTGTAGAGAACCCAAAGATGATTAAAATACTGGGGTGTATTTTCTACTTATAATTTTAGAACTTATGCCTTTAAAGAGAGTGATTTGGTTCAAGGTTAGTCAACTTCTTGATTTTTATAGTCCTTGAATACCCTGTTTTCCGAAATTGGCTTCACCTGAAGATCAGCCAGTATGGGTTGTTTTTATTCATTTAAACCAACAACTATTCTTTTTTTCTTTTCCTTCATCTGTACCATCAATTTTTTAGTTTTCAGTGTTCCAGCAAGAACAACGTCATGCCTCAACTGGACCTGACTGACATTGTTAGCATCATTTTCAGTATAAGCTTCCTCCAGGCTAGAACTGCAGCAGCCAGCCCAGATGATGAGGGGGTGGGGGAAACCAGGGTGGGAGTGCAGCTAAACTGGATTGAGGCATTTTCCCCTGGAGCTAAGACATTCAATCACAAGAGAAAATTGTTATTTATTAAATATTTAATGGCAACTATGGGGTTTAGATGCTAGTAATTTCTATTAAAATTTTCTTTTCCTTTGATAGAGTCGTTCTAATAAAGAAGATCCAGAACAGCTGAGATTAAAGCAAAAAGCCAAAGAGGTAAGACTTTCAAGTTACCATGCTTGTCTTTGTGTTTAAGGGAAGGTTGGCAGCTCTCTCCTGGCAATTAGGTCAGGGTTTATTTTGCTGTTGCATACCATTTGCAGAAGCCTTGGGGAAGGACAGGAACTGCTAAAGGCAAGGGCAGTACTTCAAATGAGGTCAATGAGTTATGTGCTGTCTTTTTAAAATTTATTTTCAAGGCTTAGGCCTGTCTCGAAATGGCTCTTTGTAAACTACAGCAATATACTTGGAGGAATATAATGTGAGATTTAAAAAAAAGAAACTTTTGAGATTTAGCATCTGGGACTGTACAATAGGCTACATTTTTCCAGGGTAATTGTTCGTTTTGTAAATCTGATACTGCTTATAATTCTTTGGCTGGGAGGCGGTACTGGGATTTAGTTTTAAATGGAAAATGCCTCTGGCTTTTAATTTTCTGGGCCCAGCAGTTTTCTGTTCTGGAATGGAGCCCTTGTTTCACACAGTTCATGTTTAGCTGCAGGGGTTTTAGTTTATAGCTTAGACTGGTTAAGCTTTTACTCCCAGAGGCCTCTGCATAGCAACTGTAGAAATCAACAAATAAGTTCATTTATGTCTGCAGCCTCCTCTCAGTAGCTGACTTTTTACATTTCCCAATATCCATTTCCTGACTTTTCTAGCCCCAGAGAAAAAAGCTCCACTAATTGGAGCTTATTTTAATTGAGCCTTAATATTGGATCTCACTGGAGTTGCCCCCAGAGCTGCTGAGAACAGAATGAAATGAAAGTACCTAAGGTTGAAGATGCAGTGTATGTATGGGTGTGTGTGTGAAATTTTTCACTTGACCTACAGATTCTTTTCCCTCCTGAATAAATCATCAAGCCTGTTCACATTTCTGATTAAGGATCTGACAGCAGACGATAATAAAGACAATTGAGGTGTGAGACGTGTGATATGGAGCTGAAGAAATTGGTTTCTATAGTTACTTCGCTGATTTCATGCAATTTTTAAGGATCTTTGTGCTAAATAACAGTGATTTTCTGAGCAACCTTTTCCCTTAACTGTGCCTCTTGAACTATGAAATTTGTTATTGCTCAACATTGTTGCAGTTGGCTCCTAGGTGCAGCAGCAGCAGGTTATTTATGAATGTTTTAAAGGCTCTTATTGTTTGGATTAATGTAGGAATTGAGGCAAAACAACTGGAAATCTAGTAAGATTCTTACAATCAGTGTGGTGTGTTTTCATTAACATAGAGAAGGAAAATACATGAACTTTAGATGGAATTTCAGAATTGGGACAGAGAGCGTTGGAAAGGGAGAACACTTTAAAAAGTTGAAAGCAGAAATATTTTATTTTCAGCAACAAAATATTCCTCATACTAATATCTTTCCAGTGGAAAATGTATCTAGAAATATGAGAACTGTACCTATAATCTTTTAAGCAAACCTGGCATGAGGATAGATTATTTAGGGATGGGCAACCTACTGTTGCTCTGAATCATGGGTATCCCACCTTGTTTTAATTAAGGACTGACTAGATGCTTATCTTCTAATTGCATTCCCTTTTTGGAAAATATGCAACAGAAAGCTTACCCTTTTAACCTTACCCTGCCTGTCCTCCTTCATAAACCTTCATGAGCATCTGAATCTTAGATTAATTTTTCCTTCAGCTTTGTATGAGATGTTTTTGTTTTTGTTTGCATTTTATTTTAGTATGTTGTTTAATAATTTCCTAAGGGATGAATAGGTGGACAACATTTTTCAAAGAAAACTGTGGGAGGAAATGTACCCCCCCACCAAAAGAAAAGCCTCTTTTAATGAGAACAGGTGGTAGCAAACCTGTGTTTTTCTCTCCCTTTGCACCTCCATTTATTTCTTTTTCCAAGCAAGGATAAAGGAACTCAATATAATTTCTTTCCGAAATATTTTCCAAGTTTTCTAGTTGCTTCCTATCATAAATCCTCTTTGATCAAAAAAAGGAATCAAATACATTGGCCCCTTTCTAAGAACAGAGCTGCTCTGTATTGCAAATGTTTGGTGAAATTCTAATATTGTCATTTTTTTGTCATCCTCCTGCCCCTTCTAAGGGGTTCTAGTTCAGAATCAAGCATGCAGTGACAGTGTATTTTGTTTGATTGCATAAATATTGCCCATATCTTAATATAGAGTTGGACTGTTTGCTTATATGGTAATTTGTGAGGTTAGCATTTGGGATGCACTAATCACCATCATGCTGGTATAAACTATGATGCTTTGGTTTGTGAATTTTTGGTATTTGGCTGTCTGAGCAGTTTTCTTTGTTCATTTGTGAAATTTTTTTTAGCATAGATGCCTTATGCGTACTTGTTTTAGAACTGATTTGTTTTCCCTTTTGAGGTAACTACCTACCTACCTACCAGGCTTGTCATAGGAAAGAATAAAAGATTACTGGCTGTCTTATAAATGCAGATCTTCAAAGAACTCTTTAAAGAAGCTGTAGGCTTTATTTATGCTGAGAAATGTTTCAGCAGTGGTGTTTTTCATGTGAATATTAAATCAATCTGAATCCCCTTCATTCACAATCTTAATCCATATTTGCTTTCAACTGTTAAGGGCTAGAATTTTTAGGCCAGGCGTGGTGGCTCACACCTGTAATCCTAGCACTTTGGGAGGCTGAGGTGGGTGGATTATCTGAGCTTAGGAGTTCAAGACTAGCCTGGGCAACATGGTGAAATCCCATCTCTACTAAAAATACAAAAACTTAGCTGGGCATGATGGTGCACACCTGTAATCCCAGTTACTCAGGAGCCTGAGACACAAGAATTGCTTGACTCTGGGAGGCAGAGGTTGCAGTGAGCCGATATGGCACCACTGAACTCCAGCCTGGGCGATAGAGTGAGACTCTGTCTCAAAAAAAAAAAAAACTAAAATTTTTTTTTTCTTTTGAGACAGAGTTTCGCTCTTGTGCTCAGGCTGGAGTTCAATGGCGCGATCCACAATTGCAACCCCCACCTCCCGGGTTCAAGCAATTCTCCTGCTTCAGCCTTACAAGTAGCTGGGATTACAGGCATGTGCCACCATGCCCAGCTAATTTTGTATTTTTAATAGAGACAGGGTTTCTCCATGTTGGTCAGGCTGGTCTTGAACTCCCAACCTCAGGTGACCTGCCCACCTCAGCCTCCCAAAGTGCTGGGATTACAGGGGTGAGCCACTGCACCCAGATCATTTCTCCTATAGTTTTTCTTAATAAAGTTTTAGAGGCTGTTCATCTTTGCATTCCAGATGTAAGGGCAAATTGTGTTAAAATGGACAAGTTTTTATAAAAGTGTCAAATAATTACTTTTCATTCCTCCTATCAACTTTTTTCAATTTTGTCATTCTCTTTTGGCACTTAAAAACAGACTGCCTTTGGGTTGGCCATTAGCCTACTCTGACTCCATTGAGGAAGTTTCTGCTGCATAGTGCTCTTATTGACCTAACAGGTTATCTGTGTATTTGAAAACCAGATGATATGTCTGTGGATATTCCTGTAATTCAGATGTTTTATTTTCAACTTAGGGCTGTCTTCTTTCCCTTTCTCTGTTGCCTAAAAAAACATTATAAGCATCCTCTCTCTTTTTCTCGCGATTATAACTTTATATTTTCAGTACTAGCCCTTTCAAATTCTGAAATTTTTAGAATTCTTCTAGATACTTTTCCTAAAATATAAGTCCTGGGATTCTTGCATTTAACCATCTCTTTGTGAACTTTTTTTTTTTTTGAGAAGGGTCTCGCTCTGTCACCTTTGCTAGAGTGCAGTGCTGTGGTCTCAGCTCACTGCAGCTTTGACCTCCTGGACTCAAGCAGTCCTCCTACCTCAGCCTACCAAGTACTGTAGCTGGGACCACTGGTACATGCCACAACACCCAGCTAATTTTTAAATTTTTTTGTAGAGGTGGGGTCTTCCAGTGTTGCCCACGCTAATCTTGATTTTGTGGCCTAAAGAGATCCTTCTGTCTCAGTCTCCATAAGTTCTGGGATTACAGATGTGAGCCACTGTGCCCTGCTGAAAATTTTATTATAAATAGATTACTAATTGCCAAACTCTAACTTCAGACAAGCAGGCATATTTTTGTTTAATGCAGCTGTAAACGTGTATGAAATGTGTGTTGTATGTCCTAGATTAAAATCTAGCCCTCACTATTTTCTTAGCCCATCATCCAGAATTTTGTAGAGCTGGCTGTCTGACTTTGCAGTTCAAACATTTTGATTTAATCGTTATATATTTTGTGACCCTTACTTCCTTTTGGATTTCTTCCTTCTCCTTTGGGAAATGTGTGAGTTCAGTGCATCTGTGCAGAGGGTGAGACAAAGAATTCATTTACTTTCCTTTTAACAATTCCTAGCATTCCACTTTGATTTGTTATCGGATGGTGGGGGACAAAAAAGGAATTCAAGACCTGTTGTATGTTTGCTTCACAGTGCAACCTGTAGGAACTAGGCAAAAGAATAAATACTAAATGATTAAAATGCAAACCAGATTAGAAACCATGTGTCCTGAAGTTTTGGGGATTTTTGTTTATAGAAAATAATAGGTAATAAAAACTCAGTTTTTACAAGAAATAAAATACTGAATCATAAGGCTCATTACAGATTACAAAATATTTAGGTATGAGAACTGCACGGTATATTTTTAAAATGAAATTTGAAAATATATGACGTCAATGAAAGGTGATAGTTAAGACAAACTATTAAATTAAATCAATTTGTATTTAAGCTTCATGCAAGTTCTATATGGCCAAAACTCATGGAATACTGGACAGGAACAAATGAACAAATGAAATCTGTCATTAACAGTACATTCTAGCAATCAAATTAATATAGCAAGGGAAGACATTCTTAAAAGACAGGTTATAAAGAGCTTGTATATGACAGCAGAGAAACAGATTGTACGATTTCAAAGCATTGATAGTCTAGGACAGTGGTTCTCAAACTTTGGCATGCATAAAATCATCTGGAGAGCTTGTTAAACTACAGATTGCTAGGTCCCACAACCAGAGT